CTTGGCCTAGATCTTCACCCAGGAGGACAGAGTGGGAGGATAGCAGCTCACTAGATGTGTGTCTGCTGATCTCTCCATAAGGGGAGGAAGTACTCAGGAAAACAGATCTATAGGAGTAGAGTGCTGAAAAAAATGTAAAAATCAAACACGAGAATTTACTTTGTCTTTAATGAAGTATTGAAGTATCATGTCAATTGCAGGTCCCTTTTTTTTTTTTTTTTTTTTTTTTTTTTTTTTTTTTTGTATTTTCATGGGAAAGAGATACATGATAAGCCAAAGAGTATAGGCTCTATATTAAAAAAAATATAGACCTAGAAAAAAAGTTGCCCAGTAGCTGTAATGCTGTGATCCCTGTTCATTAAACTTAAGAAGACACCTTCTAAAGCAGCACACTTATTGTCCTCTGGCTTTCTCACTGCTTTCTTCTTGCATTCATAGTGCATGAAGACTTGGAGTCTGTACATATGCTCCAGGGTGGTAGTTTCACTGTGCACTGGTAGTTTGAGCTGTGCACTGTAAGAGTGAAGTGAGTCAATGAACTAAAATCAGCTTTCTTGAAGATTTCTCTACAATCTCCATGAGGAACTTGGAGCTATCACAAACTTCATGTTCCTCTCTGAAATTTGGACACTTTTAAGGGAAAGAATAAGATGTGTAATGTGGATGTATCTCTCAGCAGCAAGAAATGACAGTCCTGCTGCTGAAGTCTCTGCTTAAAAATGTGTAAATTAGAAGGTGATAAAAACATAGAAAGAATCTGGAGAAGATGCCACAGTCATGCAACAATTGCTGTGGGCTCCATCTTGCTTTGTTGTGTTGTAGCAGTGGCCCTTTGAGAAAGAGACCAGTGTTTCCCCCTGTGTTTGCCTAGAACTGACACAACAGAGGTTTTGACTTGGATTTCAAAGTAGTATCAGAATAAAAATGTGCAGTGATGTATTCTAAGCATGTAATCCTCACTCTAGAAAACTCCTGCTCTTTGCAGAGAATTTTCAGACACAGAATACTAATTTTCCCTGGCAGGTTTTTTGTTTGTTTGTTTGTTTGTTTTGGTTTTTGGGTTTTTTTTTTTGTGGGTTTGTTGTTGTTGTTGTTGTTGTTGTTTTTGTTTTGTTTTGGGGTTTTTTTGTGAGAGATTATTTGCCTGTTGAAAAGCTGGTTGGGAAGGGACATTGTGTGCCTAATGTTTTTAGCTTCTTCTGTTACAGCTGATAGCTTTATGTATGGCTGCATGGACCAAGTCACTGACCAGGCTTTGCTCCCTTCATTTCATATGTGTACTCACCTCTTCAGTCTTCAGAAGAATGAGAAATTTGAGAACATCTGAAAGTGTACCACACATAGAGTATACAGAATAAAATTTTCCAGGAGGTAATTGTTTACATTGTAAAATATGTGTTAAAACCCAAAATAATTACTCTCTGAAGGGTATTTGTCCTTCATAGACCTCCTTTGTGGAGAGTAGTAATTTCTCCTTTGATACTCCCAGTGTCTCCCACCTTGTGTATAATAAGTCATGGGGAAGGAGGTAATTAGGTCTGCTGACTTAAACTTTGATGTCACTGCAGAGCCTTGTATTTAATTTGAGAGAACTCCAGGGTATCTAGTCCAGACAATAACAGTGGTAACAATAATGTTTCTACTTTTATTTTTGGTACCAAAACATGTCTGTCCCAGCGTGGCCAGAGGCTCAACAAAGAATCACCACTGGGAGTGGCACAGCTCAGCATCCTGAATGTGAACCAGTGCAGAAGCATAGTAGCTCTTTCAGCAATGGCACTTGCAATTGTAGTTCACTCAGGGAGATCTGACACTACAGAGGTGTTCCCATGGCAGCTGATTTCACTTATCACTGACACATGCCATAATGAATCTGTTGGGTTAGCTGAGGGACACAGACTGATCAAAACAGCAAGGAAAGGATAGAACAAAGTTTTTCTGAGGTGAAAAATGGTCGAGGTGAGAACCTCTTTTACTTTTAGAGAGATCTGAGAAGAAAAAGGCCTACAACCTAGAGTAACAGAGTGACTGCTGCTTAATCCGCAGGAAAGATAATAGCTCTTAACTTCAGAGTGCCCCAACAAGTAGGCAGGATTCTTTGAAAGAAAGGTTGTCTTAAGATTAATAAAATTCATTATGTGGTTCAAATGAAAGGTGATTTGTCTTGATTTGATGACATAGCTTGGAAATGAGAGGAAAAACAGCACCTAAAGGCTAATTGACAAATTTACTATCCAAAGCAACACAAACATACTGCTGTGTTTTCCACCCTTCCCTTTCCTCTTTTCAGGAGTGTTCTGGATTGTATGTATACTACCATTATATGTTTGTACCCACAATAAAAACACCTAACAAACTACTGCTCTTTTTCAAACCCCTCCTTAGGTTTTCCATCTGCCACAGACTTTCAAAGCACTGAGGAGTGATCAGACTGTCCTAATAGTAATTTTGATACTGATCTTCATTCTACAAGATTAACTACTTTATCTCCTCCTTTTGTCTCCTTATGTCTCCATGGTCTCTCCATTTTATCTCTTTCATCTTTTCTTGCTATGTCCAACAGCTGCAAACTGTGGGACAATGAATGTCACTCATTCTAGCAGCTATCGCAATTAAAAACTAATGAAAAGCTGTTAATAGCTAATTCAGTAGACTATTGCTGCTCAGGGTGAAGGAGTGGGTCTGAATTGTGCTACCAGTTACAACTGAGTAACCCCAACAAGACCAGCATCTGCTCCATATCAACATTAAACCTCTGGGAGACTTTATGATATGCTGCAGGCGCAAATACAGACAGGATGCTGATGATGCTTGTTGCTCTCTATTTGAAACAGACATTGACTTCAGTCATCATGGAAACAGAAAGATGTGGTTGAAGAGAAGCTGATTCACATGGATCTCAGAGAAAATGGTTATGCCCTTCAGCACTGAGGAGCATTTTAAAGCAAATTCCTGGGAGAGCCTTGCAGTTGACAGGATCCTTCTAGCAGGCGTGGAGGAGTGCAAAGATATGTGATTGCAGGACTTTGTTTGGTAGTGTCACATTAATGAAAGAAATGTGTTCATCTATCATCTTGAATCAAATCTATAAAATCATTCTTGAAGAAAAAGACCTGAGCGCAACCATGCATGTCTTCTGAAGCTAGTTTACAGCAAGGCCTTGCAGCCAGGAGGGTCAGGAGTATCCTAGGGTGCATCTGAAGAGTGTGGCCAGCAGGTTGAGGGAGGTGATCATTCACCTCTACTTGACACTAGTGAGGCCCCATCTGGAGTGCCAAGTCCGGTTCTGTGCTCCTCAGTACAAGCAGAGCTCCTGGAGAGGGTCCAGAGGGTGACAAAGATGATCAGGGGACTGGAGCATGTCTCTTATGAGCAGAGCCTGCAGGAGCTGGGCCTGTTTAGTCTGGAGAAGACTGAGTGGGGGGACCTCATAAATGCGTATGTCTCAAAGGTGTTTGCCAAGACGATGATGCCAGACTGTCTTCAGTGGTGCCCAGAGACAGCATGATGAGCAATGGTCATAAACTAAATCGCAGAGGTTTACACCTCAACATGAGGAAGAACTTCTTTACATTTGAGGATGGCAGAGCAGTGGAACAGGATGACCAGGGAGACTGTGGGGTCTTCCCTTCTGGAGACATTCAAAACCCACCTGGTCATGTTCCTGTGTCAACTGCTGCAGGTGATCCTGCCCTGGCAGGGGAGTTGAGCCAGATGATCTCCAGACGTCCCTTCATTGCTTAGCAGTTCTGTGATTCTGTGATTCTAGTCTGGCAGTCAAAGATATGATGACATTGTAGCTGACTTAAATCACAGTAGTACACTACATAGTATTTGTAGATTACTTCTGTTTCAAAGTATGCAAAGTACTAGACCCTCACTACAATAAGTTTTTTTTGTCCTACTTTGGGTTTTACAAACCCATGATGTAAGTAGAGGGCACTGCTGCAGTAATAAGTCATGCAATAGCACTAAGGCTTGTAGTGGTAGGACTCCCATTTTCTTTTCCCACATAATAGCATCCCTGTAAGATTTTATAATATATCCTTTAAAAAAGCCCAGTGCGACTGGGAGAGGGAGTCCATCCACTGCTCTGCCAGACTTCCATTGCTCTGGGGATCCAAAAGGAAATCTGTATTTTTCTACCTCTTAGGTTTAAACTTGAGCTTTAGCTTGCTCTTTTGTCTCTACCAAGGATCAAGGCATCAGGCTTTTTCCAGTTAAAAAAAATTAAAAATTTGCAATGAGTAGCAGCAACAAAAAGTGTCAAAATAACAGATTTTCATATTAAATGTCTTTTGGATAAGTTGTTTTTTCTTCTGCAGCCATCCCATATACTTGGAGGTTTTTTGTTAAATCATTCTTCCTTCCTATCTTGTCTTATCACCACAAGGACTTCTGTCACCATGAAAAGCATTTTTTTTCTGAGGCAGGATTATGATGAGCCCAGAGGGCCCCCTTAGAATGTGGCCATTTTAGCGGTGTGGGAAGTTCAAACGCAGAGGTTGTTTTCTGCTCTTTTGGTAAATATGCTGCATGCATGATGTGATGCCACTCCATGCAGAAAAGTGTAACCCACTGTCCTTGTGTTTTATGGCATCACTTGCTTCTGCTTTTTATTTATTTTGTTATTAATGCTGGCTGCTTTCCAATAGCTTCTGGCCACAATGACTGCTGCAATCTTTTGTCAGCTAAATCAGACACAATCTGCAGACAGAAACATATCATCATGTACATCATTTTCAAATAAAGCAATGCACATGCAACACACTGTTGTTTTATCTGGAGGTGTACTGAATTAAATCGAGAATGCTGTTGAGCCCATCTAAAAGAATAGCTGTAAAAAGTCATAATAAAATTATATATCATCTGGGTTTCAAATAGAATAAATATAGAAAACTAAGATTTTAAATTTGTAATCTCTAAAAGAAATCGAGTAATTAAACATGATTGTCCATTCCTTCCCCCAAAGAATAATTTAGGGAAAATGTAAGATTAGAAGGTTAAAACAATAGACAAGTACCTATCTTTTTCAAAGACAAAAAGTAGACTATGTAAAACAACAGAAGTCTTATGGTCTGTGAGAAACCTCAGTGATTTGGGAGTTGATGGTATTTTTATAAGGCAATGGGTATTTTTTCTATAGTTGTCATGGAACTGATGTTGTGTCTCCATTGCTTCAACAACCTTTTCTCTGGCATTGATGAATGCAATGCCCCTGCCTTCATATTCATTCAGAAAACTGCTAGACAGATGATGATTTTCCTAGTTCATGGCTTTGACTTCCTTCTCCCCACAGACTCTCTCTGCTCTTTTGCCTAGAACTTGTACATGTCCTCATTTCCTACACCCACCAAGGCCTGTCACTGCTCATTCTATCACAGGCTTGACTTCTGCCAAACAGAAGGATGCTTGGGGTAAACAACAAAGATATTTGCTTCAAAACTTAACCTCAAGGAAACTTCAACTGTTTGTTTCTAGGAAAGAATATTCTGAAGGCCAGTGGATATGATCTCCTGGGTTTTGAACACCACTGGAGAAGTTAATTCAATCTCCTGAAATTCGTACCCTTTCTGACAGCTGGTAGCTGTAAGTATTTATTTGAGAACTTTTCCAGTCAGAGTGTTGGTTCACAAGCAGTGAGGGGGCAATGGCTCATGCACCTTTTGCTAAGACCCACAGCAGTCAGCCCAGCCCCAGCCTATGCCTGCTGGGTAGCCTGGCCATCCTGCACCCTTGTGCCCTCCCAGACTGTCAAGAGGGTGTCTTGGCTTTGTGTGTGAAGGACACTATGGCCCCTTCTCTTGGGAGCAAAGCATGGAACAGCAATTGGCACTCGTTCTGAGCCCAGAGAGAGGGACAAAGTCTGGGTGAGCAAAGCAATCAGTATATGCACGTTATAGCATTGACATGAACTCAACTAATGTGTGCTGACAGATGAAAGTGAAGTAAAGCCAGAACCAATATTCTTAGGGCAAAGAGAGGCAGTGAGGGAGACGGGATGCTCAGGTGTGTGGAGCAGGGGCCCAGACTGGTGCTTGGTGTTGCAGGAGCTTCAGCATGGTTCCTACAGGCTTTCAGTATCTTCTGCTTAAAATACACAGTCATTGGTCCCACCCTTTAAGACTGTGTCTAATAGAAGATTTTGACCCATAAAAGACAACATCTGTCAGCAAAACCACATGAACTGTCCTTGGGCACTACAGCTCAAGAAAGGTGGCAGATTACACACCACAGTGAGGCCCACTGGCTCCTACCATACTTTTAGAAAAACTCTTGAAATCATGAACATTTGGTGGTATGAAGGGTGGGGGAAGACAGGGAAGGAGACTCCAGGCACACCTGTGTGTGGGAGTAATAAAATTGTTTGGGTTGGAAGGGACCTTAAAAATCATCCAGTTCCAACCCCTTGGCTGATATACCATCCACTAAACCAGGTTGCTTGAAAACCCATCCAACCCGGTCTTGAGGCTGATTTAAAGTGTGTCATGGCTTTTGGCAGGGGGTGAATCTTACTATTCGTGAATTCCCAACCTGTTTGAAGATCTGAAGCATATTGATGCTGTGAGAAAAATGGGTCTGTGCTACCATTGCCTAGGCTGCCAAGGTTCCCTGGAAGAACCTGGACCTTGGCTGAATGTCTCTGAATCCATTTTAAACTTCCCCAACAAAATCCCATTTCTTTCTAGACAAATATCCTTTTTTTCAGTTGGTGCCTCCAGCAGGTTAGCAGAGTTCTTAGCTATTATTTTTGAGTTTTCTCACTTCAGCTCTACTTTCTGCCCAGAATTCATAAGATATCCTTTAATTTATTCTGCCTAAAATGAGATAAACCATGAGTGGCCAGTCTCCGGGGGCTGTGCCATTCTGTAGTTAGCCTTATGTAAAAGATACAGGGCACATTCTCAGCACTGTGAGTTGTTATTAATGAAGGGTCTCTGCGCAACTCTTTGTCCATCACCATGAAAATTTACCCTCACGTATCTCCTAAATCTCAGATGTAGATTTCATTTGCAGCATTTTCGGATATTCTTTGATTATTTTTTTCATGTTAGGGAACCATAACGATAAGTCCCTATTCAAGTGAATATACAACTAGACCTCATCTGACACTAAAATTTGCTAGTTTCTCTTTTTGGACTTAAAAAAATTTGCCTTTCAGAGCTATTCAATAAGATAAATGTTAATGAGAAAAATTTTAACAAGGCAAGCCCTGGCAGTGACCCTCTCGGATCTAAGCAGCGCTACAAACTCAGGGCAAGCCTGATGCATGAGGAACATCTTGCAGAATATCACTGGCCTTCTGTTCTATCAGCACTGTAACTCTAGAAACAAGGCTCTTAATGAGGAAAGATCAATCCCAACAGGAAAACCTGTGATATCTGACATCAGTAGACAAGCATCCATGCTGTACAAACCACCACCCCCCTGATGCCAGCCCCTGCTTCCAAAAAATAAAATAAAATAAATTAAAATTGTGTCATTTTCATTCAAAGTTTAAAGACTCAGGATCACTTCATGTAGCATTTAACTATCATTTCAGTCAGGCTTTTGAAGCTGTTTAAGTTCTTTTGTACCCGAGTTGTTTAATGTTACTCAGACAAGGTAAATCAAAGTCTAATAGAGTGGAAAAACAGTAAAGGCAGAAAATAGGTAAAAGATAAATCACACAGGAAGTTTTTCTTTTTTTTTTTGTTATTATATTCATTGAGATCAAAGTCCTTGTTTCAGCTCTAATTAACAAAAGCTAATGCAGATTGGAGACCTTCTGGCACTGAGCAGAGCCTTGGAGGATACAGTTGAAATCTTCTGAAGATTTAAATAATTAATATGACACCTTGAGCTTTGGATGGGAAAATAAAAAATAAAAAAAAAGAAAAGGGGAAAAAAAAGAGCCCCATGTTCAAGTTTAAGAACAATGCCATTGCCAAGTTTGATACCATTTGTTCTGATGAAAATGAGCTGAGTAGACTGCACCGACTTCATTGTCTGGTACATTGGCAGTTCAGTGGATTGTTTCACCTTTTGTCATGCTAAGGAAGTCTTTTGTGCAGTACTTTGTTACCCCCAAGTCTGCCCCAGTTGAAGGAGGATAGAAAAAGGCAAATCTGCTTTAGGGACTTGGAGGATGGTCATTTAATGGTTTTTAATCCTCTTAATCCACGTAAGAATGGAGATCTCTGAGTGAAAATCCCATCCCAGAAGTCCTTATGATTCAAATGCCTGGCTCAGGAGACTGTCTTTTGAAAAAAAAATGCAGCAAAATATTCTCCACTACTGTGGCATTGTGGTTTATTTCTCTCTGGTTTTCTGAAGCTGTCTAATGCAATATAAGCAACATGAAACTGAAACCTACTTCAAACCCTGTGAAGTAGAGAACAGAGGGTGCCCGGTGCCAGTCTGTGTGTTTGGGATACTCTGGTGATTCGGCTTGATTTCATAAAAGTGATGAGGACCCTCTTTTCTGATTGTCTCAACTGTATGCAAATCTATTTTGATTTTGGTGTGCATTAATGCCCTCCCTGAGCTGTTTTCCACTTGAATATTTTCTAGGTAAATGAAATCCTCTATTGAGGTTGGATATAGATTACTTCTAACTACTACATAACTACATACATAACTACTACGACATAATCATAGCTAACCCTTTCTTCTGAGCTCATTATTACTTCATAAGACCATGACTTCCCTTCCCTGTCACCATAAAAATATAAAATCAGTATAACTAATTCAACAAACCACTAAAGAAATGCTAAGAGGCAATTTTCATAAGTAAAATTAAAGAAGATCTGAAGACAAAATGGGCTTTTCTTGCTCTCAATCTGTAGATTTGCCATTGGCCACCAGAAGCTGACTTTAAAATAATTTTTCAATTACGTGCACAATGAGGTTTCTCATTTGTTCATGTATTTCATTACTCCATTTTTTAGAACTGGTTAAAAAAAAAGGAAAAATACAGCTTCTAACTTGTAAATTACTATGTAACAGATACAGAAAAGAATAAAAATGAGAAAACTTCTTTTTAAAAGACGTATTTTAAAATTTCTCTCAAGAGAACTTTAGTGGAAAGAAAATTATTTTAGCAAAATTGCATTATTGGCACATCTTAAAAAAATTGCTGCTCATTAATGCAATGCTTTCTGTTCTAGTTAGCTCAGTGACAGCTATTTCTGAGCATTTATTCCTACAGCACTCCCATGCCTCTGAAACAACAGATACAACTCCAACAATAGCTTCCTAGGATTTTAATACAGGTTTTCTGAAAGTTCAGCCTGCATAAAACCACAATCTCTCTGAAGAAATTTCAGCTAGATGTTAATATCAAACTACTCTAGGTCTGCTTCAAGAAAAACTGGGCATTATTTTACTTTTTCTCTACAGAAAAAGGTAGACTAGTCATGCTGTCTGTGGCATCCCATAAAACTTTGGCAGTCCCTTTGATGAAATTTCTGTATTTCCATCTGAATCAGGTTAACATTTCATTTGAGATTAGAGGGAAACATAACGTACCTGTTACGTGCAGTTGCAGCCTGGAAAGCCAGCTGCATCTGGGCTGCACCTAAAGAGGCATGAATCAGCAGGTCAAGGGAGGTGATTCTGCCCATTTACTCCACTCTGCTGAGACCCCACCTGGAGTGCTGTGTCCAGCTCTGGGACCTCCAACACGAGAAATATCTGGACCTGTTGAAACAAGAGGAGAGCCGCTAAGTTCATCACAGGGCTGGAACACCGCTGTGGAAACCCAGGGCACCGGGAATATTTCTCTGTCTGCTCTGGGGTCTCCTGACCCCCAGGGGAGCACTGACTTTGACCCTCATCCATGGAGAAAACTTCCAAAGCTTCAAGGCAAACTAGAAACCACAAAAGTGTGACATAGATTGTAGAGATTGTAGAGAGTAGTGTAGTGTGTCACATGGGTGAGGAATTTAGGTTTTAGGATTTTTAGTATTTTATAGATGGGTTCAAGATGGAGGAAATAGGGTGGTGTCTTGAGTTCTTTTCTTCTTTCTTCTTCCTCTTTCTTCTTGGGTTTAGGTGGTATCTTGTAATTGGGCAGAAAAATCCTCATTGTGGGTCTTAAGGGGTCAGTTATTGGGTTAGAAAGGGAAATAATTTAGGTGTCACTTCTTAATTGGGTAGTTTAGTTTTTGATTAGACTTAAAAGGCCTTGTAACATGAGATTGTTGGCCATTTTTGTGCTGTTTTTCCCGCACAGAGTCTGGTGCAGACAGTGTGTTGAAGTTATGATAAGATAACAATAAACAGAAGCTGAAGACTGAAAAAGTCCAATGAGTCTCTCGTTCCTGACACAGAACTGCTCCAGGAGGGTCTCCCCTGCCAGAGGAGCCCCCAGGGAGTTGCCCAACTTGGGGCCCGCAAACTCACACCTCTGCTAATAAAGCAGGCTGAGAGAGCTGGGGTCATTCAGCCTGAAGAAGAGAAGGGTCTGGGGGGGACCTTACAACAGCTCTACTTTTTAAAGGGAGCATACAAGGACAGGGATTTTTCTCAAGAGCATGTAGTAATGGGACAAGAGGGAACAGCCTTAGGCTGAAGGAAAGTAGGTTTAGATTAGATATTAAGCAGAAATTATTTTCTCTGAGGGTGGTGAGATGCTTGTGGACACCCCATCTGTGAAAGTGGTCAAGGCCAGGTTGGATGGGGTTCTGAGCAAGCTGGTCAGTGGAAGGTGTCCCTGCCTATGGCAGGGGGGTTGGAACTGGATGATCTGTAAGGCCCCTTCCAACCCAAACCATTCTATGATTCTGTAATTCTGTGTTATGGGGGCATTTTCAGTGCTGTATGCTTCCTCATTTTTCTGCTGTTTTACAGCTTCCTTTGAAACCTCACCTTTGCTGGGCTGAGCCTTACAGGGGATGAGCTGTCTTTCTTGGATCTCTCATGTTATTGCCTGGAGATGAAGGAGGCACAAAACAGCAACCTGGCTCACATTTCCTGGTTCACTGCATCACAATGACATGGCTGCAAATGACAAATGTTGGATGAAGATGTGTGCATGACAAAAAGGTGAGTGCTTGTATTCAGTGGTGGAAGGATAGCTACAGGTAGGCTGTGATTTCCTGGAAGTAGCATAGTATAAGTCATACCAGGCTGACAGAAACAAAATTAAGGGCTGAACTCAAACTGTAAGATGGCTTTATCCTCTTTGGAAGAGAGAGTATGTAGAAGTTGACTGAGAGTTATTTTGTTATATGGAAAGGAGTAATGAGATTATAGTGAAATATTTGTAAGAGGAGACAGAATATAAGGCAGACATTGGGGGGACTCCAGCACTACTATTATGTGCAGGAAGTAATAAACATGTGGAATAAATTACTTGGAAAGGTTATTGAGAAAAATAATACAAATGACAGACAAAGTCACCTAGCTTTTCGAGAGTCAGAGGGAGTTGCGAAATACAAAGGAAATACATAAAAAAGAGAGAGATGAGCCTCTGGAAGTCAGGTGTGCTGAGCAGAGAGAGACCTACCTTGATTATAAACCACTTTGTGTTTGCACTGGCAGTGCCAGCCTGCACACTGTGAGGTGCCTTGTACCAAACTCCCTCAGGCACAGTATTTTCAGGAACAGAGCTGCTCTGGACACAACCTTCTGGCCAAAAATTATGTCCAAAAATGGCTATAAAAAGTGACACTTTACATATTTTTTGGCCCTTCATACATCAGCCAGTTATCCCCCAGGAAACTTGCTTTTGTCCCTCTGGCCTCTGCAGCTCCATCAGTGGGACAAGTCTGGGAACGCCCCCAGGAGGGACCACTCCGGGAGCCAAGAGCGCACACGTTTCACACAAAAAATCCCTACACTTGAGACAAAAATGGGCTACATCTCTGCCTGTGTCCTCTGTTGTCCTCCCACTGGTGGTGGTAGTGCTGTGGCAGGTGTTGGGGGGTGGAGGTTCAGCATAATCCCCCATGACCCACAGCTCTTGAATAGGTCATGTTTATTTCTGAAGTGAATGCTTTTCTTTTCTTTTGGACTCTGCAGTATTGAGGCCATCCTGCAGCATGGGCTGGTACCAATTTTTTGTTTATGGACTATAATCTCCCCACAATGAGTACTTCAGCGTTAGAAAAGCACAATACGACAACAGTTGGTCAACAATCTGATTGAAAATTACCTGCTTTAAAAAAAAATGTTTTCAAATCTATTCTGGAATATCTTGGAGTTTTCTTTGAATAATGACTGTTTTGGAAAGGAATTATTTTTGCTCTCTCTCTCTTCTGTGAAAGCCTTCCTCCTGTTAAAGTGATGTAAATTAATAACAGCCCCTCTTGGCCCCCAGGATGAGAACACACTTTTTGCAGGCTGCTCCTGTTCTGCCTAGAAGCTGTCATTTTTAATGTGACTTTCCAAAGTTTTTTAGCAATTCCCATTCCCTATGCACCATGCACTTCATAGAAACACACATACTGTTCTTCAAACAATGTTATATATATTCAATCATGTGAATCATAAATTTCTTAGTTCTCATGAAGATTGCATGTTTGTCACTATTTCTAATTTTCATATCCTTACCTGACAGGATTCTTTTGGAATGAACAAAATATAGCAACAACAGAAACATCTTGAGAGAGGCTCATGTGGGAGGAGATAGAGACAATAAACAGATATCACACACAACACAACATAATGTAGCAAATAAGGGTCTGACTCAAATTGCTTTAAAGGACAGAGAGCAGTCCCTTATTATCAAACTACAAAGGTTGCAGTAACTCCTTTCCCTGAGGTAGCACTGCTATCAAGGAAAAGACCCCTAGTAGTATTTTTATAGCCTTTGCTTGAAATGTTTTTGAAGGAAAGCTCTGACTTCTAAAGAGTTCTGAAACTGTGTGGTGTCTCAAGATAGATCTTAAGGAAATTTGCCGCTATCAAAACTAGACTGCCTAGAATATGGCAGAGCCTATTAGGACCGCAATAACAACATTGATTTTAGGGATTTTCCCCTCCCTCCAAATACACTGCACACTTTTTTGATGTATGAAGGGACTGAAGCTTCTTAAAAGATATTTTCAATGGGATAGTTCTGAAGACTTCAGATAAAATATTTCAACACAGTACCTGCAGGGACAGGAGAAATTGCTTCAGTTCATTTTGCCTTAGTTAGAGTCGTGTCAAATCAACTGCCCTTGGCATTTGCAGGACTTTGTAGACACTCTTTCAAAAGTGTTTGAAAAGCTTCAAATAGATGAAGGTCTTCAAAAGGCAACTATCGCATGGGATTGACATCAGTAATGCTCCAAAGACTGTCCAAAAGGGCCAATACATTATATAAATGAAGCTTTATTACCTTTTTATTAATCTCAGATACTAATGGTCTGTCTTTGTTGCATGATCCATTTGCTACCAAGAGGATACCTGATACATATCCTGATTACTAGGATGCATGAGGGCCTGATTCTCCATAGCCATGAAGGAGATATAGCTATTTGTATGTGACTTTCATATGCTGACAGTTTGGTCAGTAATTTGCAAAGTTTTTCCACCAGAAGCAGTGAGAATCAGACATGGTGACATCTGTTCCCTTCCTTTTGGTGATGTGTAACATGGCACAGTCCAACATAAGTTGAAAAGAGCAGTGTTTCAGTCTAAGCAACTGCAACATAAGCTGCACTTCTCAAGATATGCAGAGGCAGGCATCTTGCCACCCCCATTCACACAGGCAGCTCCCATTATATTTTAGCAGATCTATTCATATAAATAAGTATTTAATTACTGAAATTCACAAACAGAAACATGAAGGACATACCGCTGGAAAGTCATATACTTGTAATAGTATAAATTCCTAGAGTCTAAACAAGAGGATGTATTTGCTCATCCATACTTGTGTGTGTGTAAATAAGCCACACTTACTCTAACAGAGGGAGGAGGCATTTTGCTGCATTACTGTCTGTTTCTAGTGTGAAAGTGCGAGATGCTTTCCTTCCCACTGGAGGTGGGAAGATCCAGTGCAGGTCCTTGTAAAAGAGTGTACACCTGAAGGCAGGATGAAAATTTGCTTTCCCATGGGAGTAGTCTTTGTGTTTGTACAGGGTTGATGGTGACTAGATGTGCATCCTGTGGTATGAAGAGCTCCTTTAGATAACCATTGCCTGACCCTGAAATTCACTCCTAGAGCCTGATCCAGCCTCTTTTATGAATAATCAGTTTAAACAACACAGAGGAACAATGTAATCATAGGACTGCCTCTAACAGAGATATTGCACTACAGTGCACTGGATTTTCCTGATAGATCAGTGTGCCAAACCCAGGTTTTCCACATAATTTTAACCTTTTTATGATGTGAGAGAAAGCTGTATAACTGAAATAAAGTGGTGTCTATCCACTTGTAATAAATCTGGTCAGCAGTCTGGAAATTCTGTTGCTTGTGATAAACAATCCTCAAAGTAGCATATTCTCATTAATATGCAGCCCTTGCTGCAAAAATTTAAAGCAAACTTTTTATTTCTCTTTGATCACAGACTTAGAGACATACTTATTCTTCTTAGTAGGAATCAGTAGATTTATGGCAGGAATGAGTGTGAATCACAGAGTTTCCCAAAAGTGCCGTAAAGAGCTTAGATACAATAATATCAGGAGTGGCCTTTAAAATGAGCTATAAGAGTAAGTTAAGATAAAAGATTCACACAAGATGATGCCCTTTCTCGTTAATCCTTATTGTATTTACAGATTGTTGCTATAGAGACCAGAGAAGCAAGGTATTTTCTTTCTCTGGGAAAACAAAGTCATCTTCATATTTTCTTGTCAAATCTTTCTTGCATTTTGTATCTTTGAAGCAGCTTTGATGGAAGCGTTTCCAGAGGAAATCAGAGCAGAAGGCAGTCTCCCTCATGATGAAAGTACCTGTTTTCAACCCCTAACCTATACGCATCTGGGAAAGTTTAAACTGAAGGAAAAGAGGTAGCAGGTACTGTTCATTTTTGTTCACTTGTTGCTCCTTAGTATATTCAGTTAATGTTGAAATTTTCATATATAATCCCAGAATGAGAGTCTAGTTCTTTCTTTGCACTCAAGAGCTTTTTACTCTTAATACTGCCTTTACTAAAACATTTTATTATTGCTCAAGATGAGACTTTGGGATGGATCACTGGTCCTTTAACTTCTGAAGAATCACAGAAGAATTCAAGTTGGATATTGAAAGTATCTGCTCCAGACCTTTGCCCAAAGCAAGGCCAACTCTGAGACCAGTCCAGGCTGCTCAAAGCTTTGTCTACTTGGGTTTTGAAAACCTCTGGGGATGGAATAGCCTTTCAGGGAAACTTGGTCTGCTGCCTGACTGTTGTTATGGGGAAAAATTCTTTGGACACACCCTGGATATATCTCTTTTGTTACTATTTTCCCCATGATTTTTATCCTCTGCCCATGTGTCACTGTGAACAATTCAGTCCCATCTTCTTGATGACCCTCTGTAGGCACTGTTAGCCAGTGGTTTTAGGTATCTCAGCCCAGCTCCTCAAAGGACAAGTGCTCCTGTCCCCAGCATGTCTCCCCTTGAGGAAAAACTCCAGTTTTTCTGTGTCTGTCGTCTGCTGGGAGGACCAAAACTAGATATAGTATGTAGATGTGGTCTAATGTCACTGTTCATACAACGCAGTGCTGTCAACCTTGTGTCTGCTAAGAAGCACTCTGGCTCTGAGTTTGCTCTCCACCAGGGTCCTTCAGTTCTTTTCAGCATAGATGCTCCTCAGTTGTCAATCTTGACATATTTCTCAATGTGTGATTAGTCCTCTGCTCCCACATTTTTTCTTTCCATCTTATGCTGAGCTGTACTTCATCACATCATGCAATGTCAGTAAACAGTCTTTTTTCAAACCTCAAGCTAACTGCCCACATTAATCTTTGTTTCTTCTTTCTCTTGAAAGTGAGCTACACATTTTTTTGTGCTATGGTAGGTCATAATGATTTGAAACAAAAGCCTTCATCTGAAATTTTAGAGAAATTTTAAAGGCTTTTACTCACTTGAGGTTTGCTCTTGATATAGTGTAATCACCTGGCCCATCCACTGAATTTACTTCCAACAGTACAGGCATTTTTTTTAAAGTACTTTTTATTTAAGTTCTTTATTTTTGTACCTAGCTTGAGTTTTTCATCCTCTGTAGGCATATCACTGACCAAATCTCACTGTGATCTCCTCATAGACCACCTGGTGAGGGTAGAGTTATGCTCCACCAAAAAAGGAGAGACTGAGAGATCACCAGCACAGTGGAGTTTGAGACAAAGTAATCACTTAGACAGAGCAGTTCTGTCTTTTCCTTTCTTCACTCCTTGAAGTACAGCATCAAAAATGGGAAAGAGGAAAGGTCACTCACCTGCTTTCCCTGGCTCCCACCGTTAGTACAATACCTAACTAGAAATTCAGGGCAAGCAAAACACACCATCTTTCTGTTGCAGGAGCCACTGGCACCTGCAGCCTCCTGTACAAACATGAAGGAAACCAGTGGTAACAATGCTTTGTGCTGCTCTGTGGTGGGAACTGTGTGCCACCTAAAGACTGCCAGATAAGTGCTTGTCATCATTAGTGTGTCTGGCATAACGAGCCAATTGCATTTAGTATTTCTGACCAGAGAGCTGCTCTGGGTAAAAAACCAATGGACTTCTCATGCTGAGAGTCCAGCAGACTGCTGGGAATCAGGTTTCGGTTTTTATTTCTTTATTATTTAATGTCCTAAGTGCTAGAGGAAAAGGCTGTCTAACAGAAAATATTAACATGTTCCTTAGTCACTTGGAAAATTTAAAAATATTTCTTCTTTTTACTGCTGGTAATATCTGCCACTCTCATGGCAGTTTTGCTTGTTCAGAGATTTTTAAAATGATGAGTTTACCTTCCTATCAGCCAGAAACTCTTGCCTCTTTTGTTAAATTCTCATCCCTGGGAAATCGCTGCTTGCTAAGTAGATGTACTTAGGAAAGGGTGCAATTCTGCCATTGTTCTGCATCTTGGATAAGGTCTCATTCTTTCTGCTCTTCCTAGAGTTCCAGAGTCAAAGTTTTGATTGGCTCACAAAAGACCGTTAGGATTATCGACACGGAATGACTTCCGTTTCATCCATACATCAGAACCTTTGCAACTTCTGACAATCAGGCTCCCACTGAAAAATGTCTGGGATAAGAAGAGCTAAAGAAAACACAGCGGGCTTGGTGGCTCAGTCTTCAACAAAAAAAAAAAAAAAAAAAAAAAAAAAAAAAAAAGCTAAGAGGTGAAACAATAATCAAATCTCTGCAATGTTTTACAAAAGAACAAGACTCTCTCTCATACTCATGAATGTCAGTTGAAATGACCTTTTAAAAGTGTGATAGTCCAGAGGAAAAAAAGAAAAATGTATTCTTTTGGATTGAGAATGTCATCAAAATGTTAGTTAGAACCTTTTGATTTGAAAAAATATTGTTATCTTTGCCAGTTTGCTTCAAATGTAGAAATGGGGAAATACTGCATTCTATAAGGCTTTGATATTTGAAACAGAAGAAGAAAATAGAGTTGAGGAGTTTGCAATGGTCTGTGGTTTGACTGATCACTTTTTCTCCATAACATGCATTAATGACTATAGTATTCCCATAAATTCTTCCTTTGACCTTTCTGTTAAAGTATGATGACAAAATGATAAGTGCATTTCTTACAGCTTTTGGACCAAGAACAGATTGTGTATTACCCCTTGAGAGCCTGGGCTTGCATTGTTCCAAATGTTTTCCTTTCATGTGGTAGCCTAAATCCTTTATTCTCCATCTCTTCAGGATCCATGTTAAATATTGGTCCAAAGGGTGGGGGTTTTTGATTAATTTTATATTGCATGTATTTCCATTTTTTATTACATTTTCTCTAGATTAATGAATCTTTCTAAGTTAAATCTAAGTTTCATGAAGAAATCGCCTTGGTAGAGGTAGGAAAGGTCCATCTTGGATTCTGTGTGCAAAAGAAAAAAAAAAAATTTGAAATTACTGCAATGGTTGATCTTATGTTTAATGCTGAAAGTTAGCTTAAAATCAAATTTAGTCATGTTCTTTCAAGGAAAAGATGCCTATGATCTTACAGCTTCCATAAATCATGGTATGCCTGATGGAAGTATGTTTGATGGAAATGAAGACATACTAATAAATGATGGTGCTGTTGCAGTTGTAAATTGTTGTTGCAAACACGAGTTTTTATGCAAATGGAACTGCTGATGTTTTCCAGGGTGATGTTTTAGAGCAATCTGTGGTATGAATGCTGTTGTCTAGGTGGCCCTAGCCATGACTGTGCATTCACACATACATGCACCCTGATTTACACAGCCAATGCTTTGGAGCTGGGAGACTTGGAGCCTGGGAGAGCAGGGCCTAAGCAGAGCAGGTCAGAAGGAGGGTCAGTGCTTGCCAGCCCAAGGGGAAGATGTTTATTCAGCCTAGAAGGTCTGCTTGCTGGATGCTGCACTTGTTGCCGTGCCAGACTGATCTCCACATCCTTTCCTTCTGCTAGGAAAAAAGTGAACAAAAAAGGCTGGAAAGTTTAGATTGAGTCTTTGATTTACTTATAATTAAAAAGCAGCTAATTTAGATTGCTGAGATATGAAGATACACTGACCACATTAAAAGGTTACAGGTGGTGTCTCCTTATATTGTGTAGCAGGATGATTTTTGGTATTGCTTTGGTATCTTTTATTGATGCTATGAACAATACTGTACAAAATAGGCAATAGTCTGCAGAGTGGATTTCTTATGAGGAACTTCAAATAAAAGAAAGACAGATCTTCAGATCTGTGGTCAGATGTGACAATGGTGCTCTTAATTTACATGAGCTGAAAGCTTCACTAATTTTTATTGAGGAGAAACATCAGTGACAAGCGCATTAAATATTAGAAAAGACCAGAAACGTGACATGTTGCTAGATGATTCCTTAATAGATCTGTCAAGGCAACACTGGACCAAAAGTGGAAACTGATCTTTTTAGGGTCCTAGTAACAATGCCACTACTTTAATGTTGTTCCCTTCAGTGGTGAAAATGGTATTTTCAAGGCGATTCAGTAATAACAACAAAGTAATGTACAAATGCTGGAGATTTTCTATTGGAATAAAAACAGAATTGTAGAACTTTCAGCAGGAAATTAAACATACAATGGTAGAGGCTTCTGAAGTCACCACATTATTTCTTTTTTGGCTGATACCTATTCCAAGGATACGAACGGATACAAGAAATATAGGTAGGAGGTCACAACAATTTTTCCTGTCCAGGGAACTCTCTGTCCAGAATGTGCACAACATGTTGTTGTAAAGTGCCAGAAAATCATTTGCTGTTATCTACCTCTAAGTAGCTTTCAGATTTATGTGGTAAATTATGCACAAGATAGACAAAACTTGTAAATTACTCCAAAGATACCCCATGACTGTAGCACCTTCAATAGGAAGTTTGCATTGCTGGCTCCAAGAATAATAAAGTCAAAGACTACTGTAGAACAAAATGTGGTGTACATAACTTTTGGTTTTGCTTACTAAAAACAGTAGGACATTGATAAAAATTTTACAAATACAGAAATAGGTGAGTGCATTATTCATAGCAACCCTTTTATTAGCAGACACAGGTTACCTTTGTTATTACCTGGGGGATGGTAACCAACAGCTTCCAGGAAAAATGTCCTTCCAGATATCACCTATAAAGACCACTAAAATCAAGAGACCAGCTTAAATATAATGTGATTTTTTTAAAGTAACCATGGACATTTTAATTTGCCTTGTGAAACATAAGCTATTGCTTTTGTTTTGATTGCCAGCTTTTTCATTCCATCCTGAGTGCTGGAACCTTCCTTTCTTTGAATTAAAGTTCAAATTTCTGTATAAGTCATTGATTGCTTGAACTGAAACTTTAAATAAAGTGCTTTAAGTAAAGCTTGGACTGAGATATCAAGAGCTGATAACATTAAGATTTATAGGAGCAAGTGGAATTCATTTATTGTGGATTCACTTAGTGATGGAAAGATGCTCCTTAGAAGTCAATTTCAGTCTGGAAGAGTTCAGAGGTGACAGGCTAATAATAATGGTAATGACATAAATATGAAGTAAAAAAGAGATGCC